TTTGCATGATTTCCAAAAAATCTTTTTTTGCGCTACAATTGCGGTAACGGTAAGAAATGTATACGACTTAATGGACCGTAACATTTTTTACCTATTACAAATATTTCCTTATTTTTCTTTCCCTCATTTTACTTCGCTTTTTCTTCGTTTTCTTCCCTTCCTCATCTTTTCTACTTCATTATTTTCTCTTCAACCTTTAGCGTGAAAATCAGGACTCGCTCTTTAAATCTGTACTTTACTTCCAAAAGACCAATTAAAGGCTTCGTTGCCTAGAGCCCTTGAAATATACCTCTTGTGATTATCAATAATTAAAACGTGATAGTTGGCACATTGATAATGAGAGGGAGATAATTACGTTGGAATGATAACGTGAGGTTTTACGAGGAATTAATATCCGATCAGGCAACCGCAGTGAGAGAAAATCGCTGCATTTCGCCCTTGATTCTCACAGAATTGATGTCCCCGTCATAGCGGAAATAGTGATTTAATTTTTCACACATTTATGATGTTCCTTTTACTAATTTATGATTTTTTTGCGTTTTTGCATATATGCAAATGCGAAAACGCATATTGCGATGACCCCGGTGTGCATGTGTGTGTATGTGTGTGTGTATGTTTGTGTGTGTGTGTGCGTCTGTCCGGGTGTTTCAATCCGACACCCAAGCAAACTCCGACGCCAAAATTTTGCGAGGGAATTCCCCGGCCAAGTGCCACTCCAGGACCGCGGTACCAATCCTCATGCACGTCTAGGCCTCACGTACGAGCGCCTCGAAGTTTTGGCGGGAAAATCGCTAACTTGGGAACCAGAAAAACTAGTTCTCTTTTTTTCAACTTCCCTATGGTTTTACTTTTTGATTTCAGGCCATTTCAAAAGCGCTTCCTTCACAGCGACCATCTGCCTCCATCCCTTCTTCACCCGCCAAGGACAATGAATCTGCAGTAAAAGAAGGAGCAGCAGTTTATGCAGTTCAGTCGCTGCCACCTACACCACCAAGTATTACATTTTAATCGTTGTATTTCCGATACAAAGCTTTTCCCTGTTCTAAAGCTTGGTCTCACTGCTTTAGCATATTTATTTCATATCTATAACTGCACCTCCCTCCTCCCACTAATTCTTAATACTTCGACCAACTTCCCTCCACTTACTAACTTCTAACAATTCTACCAAATTCTAAATGATTCCATATTACCTATCTTCCCACTCAATAGCTAACTTGCCCTCCTTTTCCCTTCATTAATTTTCCCTATATAAACCCCTTCCTAGATCCCAGCCCTTAGTTTTGTGGAAATCGACAGGATCGACAACGGCACGGCACTCGGTCGTCACG